GCCGTGCAATTGTTACCAGCATTTAGTGTTTTTCGGTGATGCGCTCGCCCTGTAGAATTACACAATACTTTCAAATATTACTTTTGAGTTAATGAAAGAACCAACAGAATTTACTTCATACAAATGGGAGTAAGTGGAACCTCCCAATGAGACGAAGGTAATTTTCAACTGAGTGTATAGCACACATTGCGCAGAATTTAGTGTTCAAGCAAAAAATAGGCTTGCCGAAAAAGAAAAATCTATATATACCTAATGGGCATCAATAATGGCGAAACCCAGATGGGCTGTGGAGGAATTTTCTGCAATCGTATGAGTAGACTGCTACGCTGCACAACACCCCGCTATGTAGTGGGCGTAAGTTTTTCAGAGCCCATCATTTCCACCACAACAGCATCCAAATACTCTTAAGGTAGTCTACTGATCTTACGGTTTCCGGGACATCTGAATATTTTGCACGCAAAGGTGTAATGATTCAGTAAAATCATCTCGGAAAAATGGTCGGAAATAAAATTTTGTTTTGCAGTAGGATCAAATTGATCTGAACGCGGTATCTTGAAAGCGGGAGCTGCTTTCTGCCTTACACTACTATCCGTTAAAGTTTCGGGTGCAAATAATGCACAAGAAAGCATCCTGTATTAAAATAGTGCGAAGTGTTTGTCGGATGTTTGATCAGCTTTTAAGTTCAAAGTGCAAAGTTAGACCTCACTCTCCTAGTGCTTGTTAATGTCCCATAGTGTAATTAGATTGAGAGGTTGAAACTTGTCGCTTCATAAAAACGTGTTTTATAAAGAGGTATGTCACCTTTAGCGAAATACGCTCATTTGCAAACTAATTTGATTTTTCGAGAGACTGACCTAAAACCCAGCTGAATCTTTTGTTTGTGATGTTTCCAAGCAACTGAAAGTAGTTTGCGGATGAGTGCATATCGCTAATTTCGTTTAAAGTAGAACATAAGGTTGACGGAAACGCGAGGACTGCACGTACCTGATGAGCCCCAAGAAAGGCGAAACCGGTCGTGAGCTATCGACAAATTTTAAGCAACCATATAAGTAGTGCGTAACAAATGTCATTTTTGTTTAGCATTGTCTTACATATTCTTCATTGCTGTCATTGGTGCAAGAATGCCAAGAAAACTGCAGTTTTCTCTGGTATTTTAACACAAATGGGCCGAAATTGAACAGTAAATTTGGGAATGTTCTCTTTTTCAAGATCTCAGATCATTTTTGTCTTTCGAAATTATGTGGACCAAACCCCAAACTTGCTCAGCTTGTCGTCCACGGTCAGGAAAGTTCGCCGGCATGGAATAGCTCGATGTGCTTGAAACACACGTTGTGTGCATTTAAGGTTAGGGAAGCAGCCATTCTTAAATCGTACTGCGTACTTTTTTATTGCATGTGAAAATTGGTCCTTACTGCTTTGGATCCCGCTTTTTTGTGCTTGTCGTTGAGGAAATTTTTTACCTTCATTGGCGATCCGAGAGAGGCGGTCAAGCAATCACTTGGCAGTGAAGTGTGAAGACCTTTACCAGCAAACTCATCTGCGCTGGTCATTGCAATCTTCCTGGATGGGGACCCCGAGACGGTCCACATAAATTGTTGGAGACATTGTCAGACATGGCCCAGTAGCGCCCTCAATGGCGCTCGTGCATCCAAGCTATTGCCTCCCGAATCCCCCCACTTGACAGCCCACTGACAATGCTGGATCTATACACCAATTTATCAGCTCCTGCCCCCAATGCGCACCTACCTCCCCTCCCCCAAATCATCGGTGAACGAAACTGCGGCAGCTACAACCACTGTACGACGAGTACGCGGTTATTACAACTGACAATGATGATGATGACTTAGGTTAGTTGTTTGTCAGTATGTGCTTTGATACATGCCATAATTTACTCAGCTATTCGCGTCAAAGGCAGGCCCATGCCAATTGCGGCCATTCCCATATATTTTAAGGTTGGAATTACAAATGAAAATGGTGAAAAACACACTTCCGGGTTTATCAGCTGAGTTGGGCGCACCTGTATACCTTATGCGATACACGAGGAACTATGCTGTGTCCCGTGGTGTAGTTTGACTTCATTTTATCTCCCATAAGTATGTTTTTTACGTGCATCTTTATCTGCTACGAAGGTCTTGCTACAAATTCACAACCCGGAAAGCAAGAACCAAGCTTGATCTGACTAGATTGGAGAAATTCAAAATACCTCACGAAGTCCGTACTGATCAAAGTCAGTTCCTTTTGTGAGAGCTTTGAAGGAGTGAGCGTCCAAGTTAATACGAATTCATGAAAATAAGAATAAAGATTAAAGGAAAAAAACTGGGGTTGCAGCTTCAAAAGAGCTATCAAAATACTACATTATATAGATTTCTGTTGTACTGAAAGGAGAAAGTTAACTTTTCAACAGGGAAAACAAATATGAAATCCCGAACGGCATGACTGGCATAAAATAACCCAAAAGTACGAATTGCTGTCTTGTGATCCAAACAACAAACTTGAATAATCTATCGCCTTACACTAAAATGATACGACACCAAAACGAAAAACGATCGACCCAAATTGAAAACACACGTCACGAAAACCTAAGCAGACGACAAAATAAGTTTGGGTTTCTGCGACACGTTTGAATATATACAATGGATTAGAGATTTTGCAAGCTCCCAATGAAACTTTGTGACCCATCAGTGCTGACATAATTTCATAAATGCCAGTCATTTACCATAAGGCTTTCATAGGTCCCATCAGGAATGCTCAAGTATTCACTCGGTTGCCAGCAGCCGAGCATTAATGGCCAAGTCAAATAGGCAGGCATAATAGATCATTTAACTGACATTTCAGAATATCTGGTACAAAGGCTTTGGAGTCCAGTCAGTGATAATTGCACAGGTCAGTTGGGGTTCATCAAAATTCGCAATGAAATTGCTACACCCATGTGAGCCTTATATTATTGAGGTCCTTAAATTTATACCAGACCCTTGTGTGATTTTTACGCAGCCGCCAGTAGTTTACGAAAAATCAATTTTTTTACGTGCGGCGAACGTGAATGATGGAAGCATGACATAACAAAAAACCAAAGAGTTTCGTCTTACTGCAAAGAAGAAATGGTAAGGCCACACCCCGTAAATTCACGGAATTGTCTCCTTGTGTGACCACTGATCTGGTTGAGACATTCTAAGTTCTCCTTTTGTTTAGGCCCTTGTGCCATCAACATACAAAAAACAACCCGTGCATAGCTCTTTGTAACATAAGCAATCTTTGTGTTTTAAGATAATGTTTTTCTATTAGAAATGGGGCCAAAACCAGGTGGTTTGCAGGTGGTTTCTACTTCTGAAATTTCGATCGATCATCTAGCCATTCTAGAGGAATGTGGTTGCATAATTTTCCAGGCTTTGAACACAACTCACAAAAATGAACTCATAAAAGAAATGTCTTCAACATTTATGTACTAGTACACAGAAGAGTTCTCCTTTTGTTTAGATCCTTGTGCCATCAACATACAAAAAACAACCCGTGCATAGCTCTTTGTAACATAAGCAATCTTTGTGTTTTAAGATAATGTTTTTCTATTAGAAATGGGGCCAAAACCAGGTGGTTTGCAGGTGGTTTCTACTTCTGAAATTTCGATCGATCATCTAGCCATTCTAGAGGAATGTGGTTGCATAATTTTCCAGGCTTTGAACACAACTCACAAAAATGAACTCGTAAAAGAAATGTCTTCAACATTTATGTACTAGGTACACAGAAGTGGAAGGAGATCTAGTACAAAATGGTTCAGTGATACATCGGTGGATTAAGGTGTGATAATTTCATGTTTTCAGTATATCGACCATGTTTTCCAGATTAAATTGAAATTATATGTCCATATACGCTTTCATTTTAGGTACAGGTCTATTATGAGGGTTCTAGAGTTCCCACAGCTCAATTACCGATTCCCATTATGTCAAATGTCTTTGAAAGCACCCACCAAACTGTTGACAAAACTAATAGCTAGTTTTGTACTTTTAAACCTGGTGTTATAACCAAATAAATTTCATGAGGTACTAAAAACAGAAATTGTGCTTCAATGAAAAACCACTGAATCGTAACTTGTTTTTTGCACGAATCTGAAAAGTGAACCTTCGTTTGCCCTGTATATTACAACCTTCACACAGCACACACTAAAACCCATTCAGAATTCGGCGATTATATACGGTTGTTCACCGTTGTCTCTTTACACGTAATCGTGGGCTGTTTGTGCAAACCTATATCCAAACGGGTTGTTGTTATTCAGCTCTGCTTAATTCCAGCCTGTTTGATTCCATTATCCGTCATACGGTAAAAATTCCGGGTTCACACCGAAAGTGTTTTGGCACGATTAAACGATGAGTGAACGTCACAGATTCAGTGCGCCTACGACGTGCTTGTTTGGTAGCCGCAACTCACTTGCCTAACAGTCAGAATTTCCGTTTAGTATGTGCACGTCTCACGAGTCAGAAAAAAGGAAGAAAACACATGTCAAATGCCTAATTTGCGGATTACTGAGGACAAATGTGGTGGCCTTGGAGATGAACCACGCAATCTACGGTGATACGTACAAAGGTTCAAATTCATACATCATAAAGATTGTTACTGATTGCTGTAGCTTGACTAAAATCCTTGTCTCCATGTGCACATCAGAGCCAGCAATCCTTATCTACCACAAGCTTGGTTTCTACGTAATAAACTAGCGTGACAATTGTTTTCGCTTACGGAAGCTCGGTCAGGCTCCTTACCCTCATAACACAAGTGAAAATCTAATCCACCCGATTCTACCTCTATGTGAGCATAGTTTTGGATAACTGAATAACGTTTCCCCCACAATTGCGACTTAGTTTAAGGTAATATGGACGACTTTTGTATATTGCATTCACATCCATACTACAGCGTGCGCGTTGCTAGACCTTTTTTAAATGGAAAATAGTGCACCAACTAAGACAGGGAGCGAATCATCTATTTGGTCTCATAAAACACACCCAAAATGTGACTAGAAATCACTTGTGGTGTACCTCGAACAATTTCGGTAGCAACCTTATCGATGATGGGCAACACTGCATCTCAGTGCATCACTTGAAAAATATGCGAGCCGCAGTCTTCGAATTCAGACAAATTGGTGATGAAAAACATAAAGAGTTCACTTTTTTTGAAGTTGAAGTAAACTCCAAACGGTCAGTGAAGCGTTGGGTTTGGTCGCAAATTATGTCCTGATCAGGAAACTTACTGTGCATTCTGCACTACGATTCCCATATTCATAGTTGTAGTATGTTTATTAGAAACAGTTCGGTTGAACAGGAAAACGGAATGAATTATTCCAAATTTTCTATCTATACGACACTGTACAAACAGTACAACTGAAGGTATCGACAGGACTTGTCTCCAAAGTTTTATGTGTGTTGTATCCGATTGTACCAATTTTACCGACTCTCACTGGTAAGACCAAAAACAACATAAAAAAATTCTAAAGCAGAATTCTTGATGCATTCCAATCACGGTGTTCGTTAATCTTTGACATTTCGACTTTTGATCACTTGGTGAATTTGTATGAATTACTCGTGAAGATATTTTTGTGAAAATAGCTGGCGACGATGCATTGACAAGTTTAAATTATGGGATGACTGGCAAAGCATACGGTGAGTTGTTTATCCAGATGTGCAGCTTTAGCAGTAGTTTCTCAGGTTTGCTGACCGACTGTCAAGTGGGTTGCTGTCCGTTCTGCTTCCAGAGAGCTTTAGGATCAGGTAAACTGGTCACCTCAGTGAGTTCATCAACTAGCTTTTGGGCTGAGATTGTTTATTCATCAGGTGTTGCTGGCCTCTCACGTTTGTGCTCAAGCCTGGTGGAAACCGCGAACTACTTTGGTAAATTTCATCCATTAGTTTCTCGAGCTTTTTGTAACCCTTTGGTCTGTATCGAACAACAACATATAGCCGCGTAAAAATGATTCAAAACTTTCAAGTTTTTGCCACATGTGGTTTATTGTAACTTGATGCTGTAGCAACCTCAGTAACTATGGTTGAAAAACATTTACCCGGTTGATGTGCCTAATTTGCGCGTATGAGCATACCAAGTTTTTCTTCTGCAGGGCAGCAGATATTGATTATATGAGTTTGTCACCACACCTAATGTGGCGAGAAGCTTGCTCACTTATGTTGTACCCTGTTTTTTTAAATAAATCTTCCGATGATCGCTTTTGTGTTGAGTCTCAACGCTACCTTTTAAGTAGTTCCTAACTAGGCTTTAGAAATCTGTCACGGTTTCCTCTAGGTTGCATTTAAGAGTCAAAGTGGAAATGCGCAAGTATGTCTTCTTAATCATGAATTAAACTCCATATTCATCAGTAAGATGAGTTCAGATAAAGGCCTCACTTCATTAACATCATGCTGGACCATATGTTGTAAGATCGTTGGTCCTCCTTACTGAGTGCTTATTTTGAAAACAGGGTCACATTTTCAGAAAATTTAGAAATTACGAATAGTTCAAAATGGAAGCACTGGTAATGCTGCGACAGAGTTGGCGTTTTTAGGGAAACCATTTGATAGTCAGTCGGTTATTTTCCCTATGGAGATGCACCTAAATTGTGGAAAGGAGAGAACTTCCACCAACAAATCGGTGACACATCCACATATTGCAGAGTCAGTGGTGGTGGCCGATGCATGTTTTAGCATTTAACAGAAACGCTGTCACCCGAATACCCATCCAGTTAAGAAATAACAAATAGCCTTCAAATGCTATGCAAGCGCACACAGGCAGACACGAGGTACCCACCCAAATGCGCGCCGATGATGTTTCCTCGTATAGTAACGAAACTTTTGCAGGTCAGTTGCCTAGCTGGGCAAACAAATCAATGACCAACTGACCAACAACCAACAATAAAAAGCCTTCTTTCAACAGTGAATTACTCCCCGTGGATACCCTAATATGTAATTTGTTTTCTCTTTGAGTCAGATAGTCTTGCAGAACAGGGATTATTCTTCAAGTTAAAGTTTCATCTTCTCGGAGGCTTGAACTGACTGGTCAAGATACTCCAGCACTGTTATGCACGCGTTTCTAAATAACACTGGAAAACGCGTCTTCCAAAACAGTTGATACATCCTAAGTCGCCAAATCACATTTGCTCAGCTGGGTTGCGCACCACCTCAACTGCAACGAAGACGGGCGATCATCTTCACTGTCCTGTTCCCTCATCTTAGAACCGGCAGTTATACTATACAGAACAGCAGTCTTAGAATGCTAGCAGGACAATTGACAGGATTTCAGCTCTTGGTTGGAATGCCGTCTTTGTACATACAACGTAACCAAAAGCGAAATGCGGGACTAAATGTGCGCTTTATGTTAAAGTGCAGTGCATGCTTTTCACCCATTTTCAGGCAAATTGATTAGAAATCAAATTTTACTTGACCGGGTACCAACACAATACCGCCCAGTCGTCCGTACTGTAGCCGAGAAACAACTTTTGTAGACTGTAATCACCAGTTATTTTTCAATGTGAGTTTGTCATCATTTTTGTAAGTAAAATTTTAAATTCCCTATTAGTAGGTAAGACGAAAGAAGAGAAAGCACTCACCAATGGCTACGTTGGGTATAAACCAAAAAAACGGATTTTATTCATGTGAAACAGCCAAGTACGTAAAAATATACTCCTCTTTAATGGCCACAACTTGCTATGTACGTGATAATATCTACTTTAACTAGACAACCGTTACAACATTTATCGTATTCAACCGTTTACCTCTTAGGACCCTATACTTTAGTGACTTCTAGTGCTCAAAAATTGCAGTCGCAGAGTTTTACTGCCTAAATGCCGTAAAAATTGCGGCCTCTAAGATCCTAATGATTAAGATACTGTTCCAGATGTTTGGCCTGGTGGCCACAAATACAGGTTTTGAGCGCAAACATGATGCTCAAGTATCACGAAATTTGTTGCCTTACTTGGTGTAATACGTCTCCAAGATGGTCGCAAAAATCAACCAGTTTTTCGACACTCTTTACGGCTGTCCTGATGAGTCACCCATCATATTTTGGAAGAATGTCCAAAATCATCATTTGTCATTATTTTACTGTGAGATTTAGGTGAGGTTTGTGACGTGATTGCAGAAAGCGTTGTATTACACCCTTCCTAACGGTAATACTCCTATGGGAATGTAACAATTCGTTACGTCAAAATTAATCATGGTGAATCAGATCCAAATACATACCGTATACCCATTTGAAAGTGTATTGATATTGACATTCTGCTCCGTATCGAATACTAACCACCCACATATCCGTTGCTTCGCCAGTACACTGAAACGTGTTTTCTAATTTGGACGTCGTAATATTCCTAATACAACCATCCTTCTGGTTACAACACCCGAGAAATAGTTCACCGCAGTTCTTCGAGTCAGGCTGAAAAAGAATCAAAGTGATGCAAGTTTAGACAGTCAGCGGGAGGGCGTGAAATGAAGCTTATGCCTCAAAGAGCACAAATTATTGTAACTGAGAAATTTATCCATAATAAAGCACTGATTAATCTTTTGAAATTATTCATTCACAAAATAATATTGATAGGATGCGCGTATTTCATGGATTTTAAGGTTGACGAAATCATTAGCATGGTGTCGAACGTTTTCTGCAACTCTAGAAGTAGGGCTAATTCAAATAATTTAATCGGATATTTTGCATATCGTCAGCAGCATATTCGCCATATGATGAACATAAAATGAAGAAAATGTAGTCTGTATCTGGGTGCCTCAGGAAAATGATATGAATGGCATGCAAAATGAAAATAACAATAGCATCCATTTCAGTTTCAGTAAAGGCTTGCTTGAAACCCACCTACTTTGGAATAAAGTAAAATTTGTCCATCTTGTTGGTTATTTTACAACTGATTTGTAGACTTAGATGAGGTCCGATACAACTGATTCACATGACATACACTTCAAACTAAACATCTGTATCGCGCCGGTTAATTTGGCAAATATCAAAACAACATCTACCAACTGCATAATGATTATCTGCAAGGCGGATAAAATTCACTTCTCCCTCGGGACCCTTTAACTTACTTACTCATCAAAGCATCGGTTGCCTTCGTTTTGCCAGCGATATGTAAATCCGTTTGGCGTATTTTCAAGGGCCGGATGAATAAAACGGTATCTCCGTGTTCCGATCAGCTCAAAATGACAGATTTATTAACAAGAAATCAACATCTTTTGCCCTAGTTCTAGAGGATCCCAGATACACACGCGTGTTTGTCGAACCGGATACTAATCGGCTTGATAAACTAATCACACAGTATGCCCACTCTAATTACCCAGGTTAACACTGGACTTGAACCTAATGAACCTAATCCGGTCCTGTCTATTCCATGAATTTAGAACACATTTTCTGAAGTTTATTATGCTGTCATGGCACTCAACAACAGTTTCTTCAAAATTATATCGAAGATTTTTTGACGCTGTTCTTGTGTCTTTTGTACCACTATGGTACAGATCTGGAAGCTGGCAGGGAATTGCGACTTGTTTATTATTGAATCCAGATTTAGCGTTTATGCTCCGACACTGACAAATCAGAATATGTATCGGATCCACAGTATCACTAGAGACCAGGATGACACCAGTGAAATATTCATATTCACTCCGGCTGGGCAGTTTATCTGAGGCTAAACTGGCGAAATCACTGTCTGTTAGCATGATCTCATGCTTTCCATCGATGTAGGATGTTCTGTCAGACAAAGTCAGGTTGTATAATAAACTTGTTTTGACATGCATGCCTCATCACCTGATCCCGCGAACATGTCTGCCTGGTCTGTCCACTCATGGACGATGTGTAAGTATGATTTAGTGGCACTTAGTTCAGCAAACTTGATTGCAACATCAAGTATTGCTTATGTATCAGTTCTAATAGCTTTTCTACTTTCTTGCATGCACGCCGTTTTGTCCATGCTTCGAGGAAAATACTGCTAACTGTATCTGAGTGGTTTACGAAGATAGCTAATCAAAGACCAGTCACCCCGCTTCCGCAGTCGTTAGATATGTTCATAGAGTTAAAAGTAATTCCTCTGATGCTGAAGTGTTTTGGAATGTAAATGAGGGATTATGCGCACTTACTTGCGTCACATGTTCGTATACGGTTATTGTGGTACTGGTATCTGAGCTGCTGCAGGCCTCCTTGTTTGCCTGCCACATGGGGTCTACAGTACTGGAGTTCAAGGTTATCGTTGCGGAGCCACACACGTTCTGTCAACATCCAAGATATGAGAGAATTATGGAAAAATTTTGTAACTCAAAACTGGGTAGTATACACAGACGACAGAATGCAATGCAAGGTAAAATGCTACTCAGATTTGGTGGCTCAGATTCTAATCTCAAATAGAATACTTGCGGTGTAAGACGTCACAAAGCCTGAGTAACGAAGCGTTTATTAAATTTCAAGCAAGCAACCTCACAGAACTTGCTGACTTTTACCAAACACCATTGTGTGTTTGCCTGCTAGTGAATCGGCTTATTATTGTGTATCTCCCCAAGCTATGTAATGTTACATCCCCTGGTTATACGCTGCTACACTGTTCGTCGAATTACAGCAAAACAATTCTCCTAACTGTGATCTGAATTACATCGTTGCATTCGGGCTATACTGCCACAACATTTACATCACTACAACGTGGGTCATTTTCCAAAAATAAATGAATCGTAAAAATGTTGAGAAAAATTCCTCCACGTTAGATATGATGTTAAATCATTGGAAATCGCACTTAATAATGTTCATACGAGAAATGAATTTGCTGAAGACCATCTCCGCCTTGTTTGTTCTGAAAAAATGTAGCGTGTACATTTGAATACAGATCTAAATTACTGGCATTCTGCTGATACCAGCAGAAGGCAAGAGATAAAAAACAGTGGAGATTTTTCTTTGGAGGTTATGCTTTGTCCAAGCGTGGGTAATTAGCTGTTAACTGTGTTACAGCTGGAAAACGATATTTGCTCCACTATTCATCATATTTACGTAGGCATGCTATTGCATTTGTGTTCAGTACTACCTCTGTACACAACCGATGGCCTTGCTCAGCCTCGGTAGAGATTCACGAAATAAAGTCAGAACTCTTTTTGAATATGCAACACACCTGGTCTGACGAGATATCCTGAAATGTGAGGAAAAAAATGTGCAATTTATTGCCATAGTCAAAGCTTAAAATGGGTACAGGAATTATTCTCTAACTGAGTAAGTGATTAGAATAATTTTGAAAGGCGTTTTACAGTTGAGCCATCTCAGTATTGCTTTTGCCATTTGACAGTTTTATTCCCTCATATGTTAGCGTGTTTGCCCACGGGCGCAATATGTGAGTAAGCACCGCAGAATGCTCTTGGTTTGGACAGAGTTTACAAAACAACAATCAAGTAAGGTGGCTCGATGTTTCAAGCAGTCTGAAAACAGGGTAGTGAATAAACACGTTTTGCATTGCTGACGGCTAATTCCTTTAACTAATTCACGTATATCGAAATCTGAGGTTTTTCCTACGTAAGTCAAAACAACCAACACTTTTGATTTGCTATCATAGGGCAAGCGAATACATTCATTTTACTCTAAACAGTAGCAGCTTTCATATTTACCTTAGAGTGACTTTCGGATGCAGGTACATGTGCTTAGATTAAAATAACCTATGTATTAATCACAATTACAACTGCTTCATGATAAAATGCATGAGTGGACTCACTTATGACTCCACGAACATGTATAGCATATTTGATACCAGACAACTAATAGCGATTTCAGTTCTTGCAGCTTAGCTTGGAGCAGCCATCTTGCTGAGGGAATAGATAACTAAATGCTTTTCTGGAGTAACCGTTCGAAAGAAACAGATATCTCGGATGATATGGGTAACAGAATGAATAACCAAAATTTTAAATGTACTGTAAATCATACTACTTGCAATCTCACAGATACACCACTAAGGAGCAGCTGGGTGATTTGTGTTGTTGTGCTCACGCAATATGGATATGTAGAAACAGTAGGGGTAGTAATGTGCTTGATAAACTGTCTAACTAGTCGAACAAAGGAGGCCATATACCTTGCCCCTATCCGGTTTTGGTCGTTCTCTCTAGCAAAGGTTATGACTGCTGTTTAGTCTAACCTGTGCTTTACCTGGGCTTAACCAACTGAGTTCAACTCCATGATTTATGTGCCTTTGTGCTTGGACCAATTTGTTTGTCGAGAGCGGAATGCAAGCGACTTTTCTCCATAGCTAAACAGTCATATTCCAAAAGCGTTTCATATTTCAATCCCCTTATTCTACAGTGAGTTCAAAAGAAAATTTTCTCAGGTTTTACGAGTCTCAGTATCCAAATAATAAACTAGAAATAATACAATCTTTCAAGTACAGTGCCCTCAGATCTTTGGTGCTTTTGCTTTTATATTTCAATTGGGTTAAGTTAATCACGTTCAGGCATTTTCCGAGAGCGTTTGTTCCTGTCTCCCAACAGCAATAGTTCTCCCTATTACGGACGGGAAACTTATAAAAACGGACTACGCAGTGTATTTGTCAAATCAAAAAAAACTTTTAAATTCACAGTTTGGATGCGAAGGCTATGCGACGTAACTACACTGTGATAAATCCGGTAAATACTTGTTACAAACAGATTTGTACAAGGCAGTCTTAAAATTTTACATTACCACTTTAGAATTAGTTCCAATGTATACTTAAAACAGTGCAAAGGGATGGTTTTTTCATTTCATTTTCTCCTCTCAAATGAGTTTTTTTGATGACAGCATGAGGTTTATTTCCATGGGTGTTATAAACACAATGGAGGATTCGGTTTGCATGGAATATGTATATCTGTTGACTTACATATGGCGGGGTTGTCAAACTTTTGCCTTCACCCTGAAATTGTACAAATCAACGGGTTTCAAACGATCCATAACAGTTTATGTTATTCTTCTGAAATATCAGGCTGAACGTCGAAAGAAATAAGCATGTCAGGAACCAAAATCCTACAAGTCCAATAGGTCTTTCGTCTGACCTGTGATCCTGAAGTGATGGTAACGTCTGCATACGTTTAATCAGTCACTCCTAGTTAGACAGTTCAATCTTCATCGAGGAACCAGAAGGTTGTTGCCCGAAGATTTCATAGGTTTGCTAAAGCTGATTACCACCGTTTAGTCTCAAAATGGAATAAAATCAATTAGACTCCTCGACTGTTTAGCTTTGAATAAAAGTCGCCGAAATTCGTTTGAAATCTGAAGATAAAGTGAATTTTTGCTGTCATCAGATTTTCGTTGTGCCCAAAAAGCCAATTTATTTTTTTCAAGTGTTATTGTGCCCGAGGAAATTTCTTGGCACTTTGTTTGCGTGATGTGTCTAAGTGACTTTTTGTTTCTTTCTGACCTTATTATCAAAAGCTGTCGGATCTTCGCTTTTGACTCTAAAGCTGTGCATCTGGTCTGGTTATCTGGTGAAGCTTAGGGATTGATTTGGGTAGGTGCACATTTTGAGTTCTATGTGATCTGTTCCCTAAGCAAACCTTTTGATTTCCGCATTGCTTGATTTGTACACAGAAGCCAGATATATGGCGGAACTGATAGCTGGTTATTTGTCTGTTGTAATTTATCGAAAACATAATTTATGCTAGATGTTTAATACATGCTCCGACCAACCAAATTTAGATATAGTCGTTTATATTTTTTCGTCGAAGCATTTACCGCTATTTCTCAGACACTTAACGGTATAATCAAAACTCTCCAAAGAAAACCACGCCATTTAAATAAGAGAATGTAAAGTATACTGCCAAACAACCCAGTTATACATGCTCTTGATATGAGTACGCGCACAATACAAAAAAATCTCCACATCAACCTTCATGAGTTTAAACTGTCTATGCAATGAAGCAAGTGAAGTAATAATAAAATGTCATTTTAGAGTAGGCAAACTATTCAATCAAAACAGTGCAATATGAGTAGAAGCATGAAGTTCCTTTCTGATAAGTAAGGCTGCATAGCTTCACAGATGTAGGATCGCCGATGGTCAGATCCGGCAATCCTGCAATAAGCACTCTATTAAGGTAATACCGGTAGCTATTTTCAAAACCGTAGGGTGGTCCTCATTAAGTGCTCTCCACATTAACCATGTAGCAAGTAGAGAAGGAATCCACGTTTTTATATGTAGATGTTTCTTTGTGGAAATTAGTTTGCAGAAATATTTTGGTGGTGCCTTACTTAGCTGTTTTGTTTTTTGGCTAATTTCAGCTAAATATAATCGTCAATGATGAATAGGATGAAAACAACTTGCGGATACTACAAGTGAATTAAATCAGAGCCATCACTCAGAATGCATTTCCGCTTGGTACTCAAAGAACCAACCCGTGTAAAAATGCGATTCCTAACAACACTCAAAAAATGTTTTTTCAAGGTGTACACAGAGGAACAAAGTTTTAAGTCTGACTTCAGAATTCCTCATGTGTATTCACTCCAAGAACTTAACTTCTGTCGATAGGGACAAGATTTTTCCGCATAGTTGTCAACTTTTGGGGATCATTATGTTGCGTTGAGCAAACCGTCACAAAGTACTGTGCGGTTGGTTTTACTAAAAAACCTGTAAATTAAATTTTCTCAAGGATTAAATTATTTAGTATTATATTTAGCACGGTCAGACTTACTTCGCCGAATACGCCTTCCAGGTACACTTTGGCTTCATTCGCGGGTACGATTCGTAAATGAAATATGACCTTCTTACTCGTGACCGCTTGTATTTCTAAAGATAAACAGGCTGAATGAAAAATTACTGAGCTGGAGTATGTTGGTAAAATGAATGAAAATTGTTTCCTAAAACGTAACTCATTTGCGTTATTTCCATGGATTACTGTCATCAGTAAATACGCTTGTATTTTCACAGTTAGGCCACATCATTTAGGATAAAGTCTGCATTCCAGTATTAAAGCGGATTTCAAATTGGTCCTGAACAACTTTCAAATCTAGTTCCATACCACATGGTACAAATTGCGTTCCAGCATTGATGACTGCTTGTGATGTCACTTTGCCCATAGTAAGCCCGGGACTTTCCCAAAAGTAGCCATTCATATCCATTTGGAGCCCAACGTGTATGGGGTCTAAGCAGAACCTGTTTAAAAAAAACATCAGAATCCCGCTGCACTCTTGTGACCACATTGTGCATGACTCTGTTCCCGATTTTGTTTCATTGGTATCAAACAACCTACAGAATCTGATTGTTTTCGAATGTGACTAGTACCGGTTTTGACAGAACTTTCTTCTGCATGCGGTGAAAAAAGAATATGAATCATCTAGAATAACACGACCAAATTTATATTGGTTATGAATCTACACTGGGTGTACCTGAGCGTATCTCGTCTGAATTAAATTAGAAGGCTTCAGCTATAGTGTGTACCGGCAACATATATATTTGTCCTGTAATCAGATACCTTAAAGGATTCTGGTCAAAATTATATTTTTTATGGTAATTCATATCCTTGAAAAAAGTTTAAAACAACCAAGAACTAAAGCGTTTGCGCAAACGGGAAGAGACTTCTTTATCGCATGGGATAGTTTTACTTAAAAAAAATTACGACAACCTAAACGACGTTTGGCATGTCCACGGTTTATATACTGCTGGAAAAAGTATAACACTTCACGTCTACAGTCGATTCGTAGTACAGTGACCCTCTATGTCAGCGTCAGCCAATTCTGGAAACTCAAAGATATGTTTCATCAACCTGGAATAAATCTGTTATGATCTTGAAGGACCGCCTGAGTTGAGCGAATGAGTGTGCTTTGCTTTTGGATATGGAAGGTATGAATAATGTAATCAACTTGTAAGTGACCAAAAATGTGGTGCTTTTAGCCGTTCGTATATCATAAGAATGGATTATACCTGGAGTAAAACCCGTGCAGTATGAGTACGGATAATACGCGGATAATATTCGGATAATATGCTGCATGGCCTCCTCAATGGTGACCTCAAAAGGCCTCTGAGCCATAGTATAGAAATTTACCAATGTTGATTGGTCACGCAGAAGAGAAATAATTAGTTACACTTGCGATCACATACCGTAACAGCAACAGGTACACAATAAGACGGTAGTGCACCAATTGGCCCACATATCTTCAGAAGTTTTGGTGTTGGTCGTCAAAATTTTACGACATTTATACTGTGAAAACACATGTTCAGACAATACCAGTCTGGAGCACACAGGTTTACCTAACCATCAAGGACGACGAGTAATCCGATAGGCTTTAAACGATTTATTGATTCAGCTTACCTGCTATAAATGGAAGGTAAGACTTAACTTACGATCCCAGGTCTCTCGCTATATCCTAGAACGTCACGAAACTAATTGAGGCTCCGATAAAACATTCGACTCCTGCACTAAGGGAGCAATAGGAATCAACGCTTTGGTATCTCGTACATTCATGAACATCAATAAATCTTTAACTGTGGGTAGAAACTCTACATTGGGACACATTAGAGAAAACCTTTAGAGTATGGGCAGGATACTGGAATGAAACAAGGCTACGTCTTAAACCAGATGCCATTTGATTGTGTCTCCATTTGGGAGCTGATTTGTCAAAAATTTAGTTCCAAGTGGTTCATCCTTCACACACTACAATGTCTGAGTTCCTAGGTTAGTGGCATTTGAAGATTACAACCTAGTTTAACATTCTAAGCCGGATTTAGGGCAACTAGCTAACTCGGTTCTCAAACAGCATAGACGTTCAGGGGGAAGGGGGCTAAAAGGTACACTGAATCAAAGCGAAATTTTGGTAAGCGATTTTAGCGAAGTGACTGATATTAGCAAACCAAAATAATTTCAGGCTGGCTCAATGATGGATTTCAAAATAGCGATACCAAAAGTGCATCCATGTTTCATTTCCAAAGGATATGCAAATTTGTAAATAACATCTTGCGTCAGCAGGTTGAATGTGGAAAGCTGTTTATACGCGTGTGAACAGTTTTGAGAAAAGCGAGGTATAGCTTTTCAAGGCCTACTCAGCCTTTGAGTACACCGATGGCCGTGTGAACCTGAGCAACATGCAGGAGTGCACGAGTTGGGTTGGTTCTGTTGGTTAGTAACACCATCACTGTAATACAGGCTGAATGCAAGCACACTAATAACGGTTGTTTCGTTTTTTAGGCGACGCTCAAAAGATACATAATTTAACGGGTGACTTTACGGGTAATGGTGAACAAGGTGAATGTCGACATCGATGCATACACCCATTTGCATACCGATTTTGTTTTGACGGGAGATCCACCTGGAGCCCAGTTGAATCTCTTGTTTATGATGTTTTCAAGCAAGTAAATGTGCTGCACCGGGCCGTCTTATTTTTTAATTGATGCGATATTCGAGATATCACGGTACATGTATAGACGTGATACACTACTTGTGAGGTTACTAGAAACCCCTTGACCGGGTTCAGCCTTCTTGGGGGTCAGCAGGTATGCACGGTCCCCGAAATTCCCTTATGTTCTGCTTCAACCCATGAGGCGGCCAAGTGTTGGCCATTTAGTTGCTCAAGAACATTTTAAGCGAGAGATTCAGCTAGGTTCCAGGTGATTCGCTCGTCAAAGCCAAAATAACATGCAACTAAGTGCATTTATCAAAAACGGTCCAAGTAGAACAGGCCAAAAAAAACGGCTGCTAAATATCTGCTTGAACTATTTCCCACAGAGCTTCTTCTATTCTTCCTCAGAAGTGCCCACGATCTGTAACTTTGGTTAGTCGTCGAGAGCGACATCGAGGGGCAGAGTTTCAAACGTCCCAAGCGCCACTACAGAACTGATAACATCAGAAAAAGATGTGTCCTCAGATTAACCACTTGTTCTCAGGCCTTTGAATCTTATCCTACCGGCCGATGTAAACCAGTGTAAACATCTTTGTAGAAGGCTTGAGGAGTCGATTTGTTACCGTGTCCGAAGTTATTCAGTTANCTGGAGCCCAGTTGAATCTCTTGTTTATGATGTTTTCAAGCAAGTAAATGTGCTGCACCGGGCCGTCTTATTTTTTAATTGATGCGATATTCGAGATATCACGGTACATGTATAGACGTGATACACTACTTTTGAGGTTACTAGAAACCCCTTGACCGGGTTCAGCCTTCTTGGTGCTCAGCAGGTATGCACGGTCCCCGAAATTCGCTTATGTTCTGCTTCAACCCATGAGGCGGCCAAGTGTTCGCCATTTAGTTGCTCAAGAACATTTTAAGCGAGAGATTCAGCTAGGTTCCAGGTGATTCGCTCGTCAAAGCCAAAATAACATGCAACTAAGTGCATTTATCAAAAACGGTCCAAGTAGAACAGGCCAAAAAAAACGACTGCTAAATATCTGCTTGAACTATTTCCCACAGAGCTTCTCCTATCCTTCCTCAGAAGTGCCCACGATCTGTAACTTTGGTTAGTCGTCGAGAGCGACATCGAGGGGCAGAGTTTCAAACGTCCCAAGCGCCACTACAGAACTGATAACATCAGAAAAAGATGTGTCCTCAGATTAACCACTTGTTCTCAGGCCTTTGAATCTTATCCTACCGGCCAATGTAAACCAGTGTAAACGTCTTTGTAGAAGGATTGAGGAGTCGATTTGTTACCGTGTCCGAAGTTATTCAGTTATTCTTGAAGAAAGAATGTCGCTGCTGGCGAGCTAGTGTAGTTCGCTAGGCAAATTATTCTCTAGTGAAGCCCGAAATTATTGATAAAACTCCGTCTTTTGCCTGACGATATTTTTGGAAAATAAATAGTCACAAAAATCGAATGAGCGATGTAGGGACGAATCGAGAGAAATGATTCTGCGGCAGTAGTAGGCTCCTACGACACGGGATCCACAGACATTAGTTAGGCTGGATTTTTTCCCTTGGGTTTTTTCTTCTCAGAGGCTACTTTTCATGCATGTGAGATGTATCAAATGTTAAACTGGGAGCAAAGTTGCATGTAACTCTAAGCAGAAAAATCACGGAAAATCTTTAATGCTGTGTCAAAAGCAGGTGATTTCTGGAACATTCCACTGGGTTTTTAATGCCCGCCGAACATGACGAAACACACAAGAGCAGTCCGGAAGGGTATCCTTGAACAAGAACCACCAGTCGTTGCTACCTCAACCCTTCGTGAAATTATAACATCGCTGCAGATCATGTTGAAGTGTAATCCCAGGCTGGTCTGTTGGAACGATATAGAGCTTACAACGGTTAACGGAGTGATTTGCGCAATGACTGACAGAATAATCTGTTGATAATACCATCCACAAAATTCTAAAATTTCATACATTTTAATCGGCATAATGGTCACCACATTATGCTGAGAGTCCCGACAACTGAAACTTTAAGTTCATACGGTTAAGAGAAAATCGCAGAGCCAATCCAGTTGGCAACAACCTAGCCGGGACGATAGACATGGCGGTGGAAGAAACACTCATGAGAAGCGAGGCAGTCGGTCGACGCAACCAAGGTGTGCTAATCCGTCGTTGTTCGAGACGTCGGGCAAACCAATCACATCGATCAAGCGTAAAAAACTTTCGCCTGTTTAGACGTGATAATTCGGTTATGTGCAATAGTAATAACACCCTCGCCTAGCCTATCAGATGTCTGGGATTCAAATCCCGCAGTGGCACGGATATACACTGATGAGTACATCTAACAAGAGCGAAATTCAAGTTCAGTGCTCAAGAGAATGCGCTCCAGGAGAGGAGAAGGATCGTTCAAGGAAGAGTGATGTGATCGTAAATCCTATAAACGTCGCAACCATTTACAACCAATAGGTTTTTGATTTTGCGCAGTAAATATTACACAGCTCACAATGAAACAGTTTTTTAATCTTACATCTAATGTCATTTCACCTCACCCACTAGATCACCACGTAGTGTGTTGAATGTGCCAGAGGACAATGACTGGTTTAAAGGAAGATGACACGCTAAGACTATATAAGAACTCAGTCACGTTTAGTGTGCTGTCGGACCAACCGCGAGCTTATGAACAAAGGTTTCGGGTTTGAATAATGCGAGCACGTTGGAAGAATGTGAAAGCACAACTTATTGTGGATCATTCACCGGTTGAAAAAGCTGAAACTCGCGATGACTTGGAATCCTGCGTTTGATGTGTTTGCGCACACTCCGCCTAACAGGTATCAGCCGATCATATGTATATCCTAAATGTAGCAAGTAGACCCAGTCTTCTTCAAAGAATCGTGACTAGTATCTCAGCAAGCGAACCGGTGGGCAATGAATGGGAAATGAATCAGTGTTTCACGTTGAGATTACATGCCGAGAGGGGTGGCAAATCAAAATTTTCATCTCCCATCTTTCGCACAATTTATTTTTCAGATGTCGGGGTGATCACATTGGTTTGGTCCTAACTCACTGTCTATTCTTCTGTTTACAGTATTACTAAGCGGCATACTATCGATGAATTGAGAACCTTTCCTGTTTGTTTAGCTATCATCCGAATTAGTGCGTAGTTTGCAAAAACACAAACGTAAACTCCAAACGTTTTAGACCACCATATGCGTTGCCCGATGAATAAACTAACCTTGTTAAGATAAATGTTGACCCACGTTCAACACAAATTTACGCAGTCATTTTCAACATCATACTAAGCTATTTTTTACCACAATCAGCTGAGTCAGCTGCAACTAACGGATTAGTCGGTTGTGAAGACCTTTGCCTGAGTGTTAATGTGACGACTTCATAAAGCAAGTTGTAGGAACTAATCGATGAATTTGCTATCCTGAGTCCGTAAAAAACTGGCAGATGTGCGTCCTAACGATCCTTGAGAGAAGAGAGTTTATCCCTTAAAAAAACATGCGTGAGTCTCCGAACAATTGCCGAACCATTGAATGCCGTCTGTCATAAGGTTGAAGCGGTTTGCCATAACTAGTTTGGATACTTTTCATAAAGGTAACTATTCTCAGGGTAGCTGAAAATTCTTCGATAGCCCGTGACCGGTTCAGCTCCTCTTGGAGCTCATCAGGTAAGCGCAGTTTCCGAATTTTAGTCAAAATTGTGTTCTGCTGGATCCCAAATTGGAAACATTCCGATAAACAAACTCATTCGCATATCAATTTGCTTTTGACTGAAAACCCACCTGGAAACCGGCTGAATTCTACAGGTGAC